CTCCTCTTGTGGGAGGTTGGGTTGTTACTTTGGTAATGGAGTACTTGATTGGTGTGGTTTGGTTGTTTGCTTGCCAACTCATTAACCAATTAGGTAACATCATCATCTATTTATTGTGACTATATGAGTTGCCTCAGGTGAGATGTGTTTTAATTATTGTTTGGCTATTTTGTTGCTGTTTTTAACTGGATGTTAGCCGCCTAGAATCACAGGGTAAGCAGGCAGCCATGCAAATTGACTAAATAAATAAATAAGTTCAAGTAGAGGCTAGCAGCCATCCATCAGGGAATGCCTCAATATGAATTTCTGCAAGAAGCGGTGGTTCAGCCTAAATGGCTCCTCCTGATTCTGAAACCACTGGAGTTACATGTTGGATAGTTGCACTTTAGTTACCCACCAGCCCAAGAGGTTTCTTGGATGCCATTCTTATGGGGGAAGGCAGTTAGCATCAGTTGAAACCTATTTAATTTAAAACCTGTTTTTTAATAATTTAATTGATCTGTATTATATTGGTATAATACATCTAAGAAATAAAATAATTTGAGAAACAGAATCCATTCCAGGGTCTTGAACAATTGCGTCTTAAAAGCATCCAGCAAAGGTCACTCAGCCCCCTTCCTGAGGCAGTTCTGCTTTTGAACATCTCTTAACACTAGGAAGAAGTTATCCTTCCTCTTAGCCCCGATCTGTTATTTTCCCTCATTCGTGGTCCTTGTCCCATCCTCCCTTGTCCTCTGAAGCAATAAACAGCAACTCTACTTCACGCTCTGATGGCAACCGCTCAGATATCTGAAGAAAGCCATTGTGTCTCCCCTTCGTATTTATTTAACCCTTAATGTTTTCATTGCATTTTTATCTGCTTTTCCAGACAGTGACTCCCCAAGTGACTCACATCAGTTAGAAGAAGAGACACAGGCCTTGCCCTTGGGGCTCGCAATCTAAAAAGGCAAGGTGCATAAAGAGATGGGCAGGGGAGGGAAAGGGGAAAGAGACCAATTCTCAAGGCCAGGGGTGGGGGTGGGGAAATGGAGCAAGTCATAATAAAGCTGGCATTCTTTACAGGACTTTCCAGATCCTTCATCATAATAATCATTCTCCTCTGGTTTGTGAACAGCTTTATGCCAATGCCATACACCTTAGTTTAAATCGGCCTATCATGGAATTATTGGGGGAAGGGCTACAAAACTCTCGTCAAGGCCAGAAGTTTTACTTCCTAATTCAAACTGGACTCAGATCGTTTGTCTGTTTGTTTATTTATTAAATTTGTATGCCGCCCATCTCTCCCAATGGGTGACTCTGGGCAGTTCACAATTAAAACCAAAAACCCAAGCCATTAAAAAAACAATACCATATAAATAACTAAAATTAATTAATCAATTAATAATACTGTGAAGGTTATTTTTTCCTTGACTAATCAAGGCTTGGTTTCCTGGTAAAGCTGTTTGACCAAGGCACAGCAGTAGTAACAAATACATAACACTGTATAATGTGGGTTGCTTAATCTAGGATCTTCACAATGTTGGGGATCCCAACGCCCAGAATCCTCAGCCTGCATGGCCATTCCTGGTTGGAGGAGAGTGGCGTAATACTTTTAAGTTCAAAAATACTTCCCACACACTAATTGAATGCATCCAACCACCCCCTAATGTAGTTACAACACATATTGGTTCTGGTAATTAATTTACATGAATATTTTCAAAAGCATTATTGTATTAATACTGTAGCGTATGTAATTTCCTCATTTTAAGGCATGGTGAAGAGTCGTGTATTTAAAACGATTTTGTAAGTTCATCAGAATGGGTGGGATCAACTTTCAGCCACATCCCTCAAGATACTGTTTTTAATAGGTTTGCATTGCAGAAACATAATAAAAGCTGACTACTGAAAATGCTTATTGCTTCCTGATGGGTAATCCATGCTTCCATTTTACAGACTGAACAAACCAAAGTGAAGACGCATGGACTGAGATCATGCGTGGGGTTAATTTGTAATGGTTTCTTTGGTTTAAGCTTAGCATATTGTGCGGCTCCAGCTAGTCAACAAAGTGTCTCTAAGCCAGTGTTGTCCAAACTTGGCCACTTTAAGATGAGTGGACTTCAATTCCCAGAAT